TCAGTTTTCTAGAGCGGAGCCACTGTTTCCTTAAAATAGCTTCTCAGTTATCCTCACGAGGCTGAGTGGACCCCGTTCCAGACCCACTACTTCTCATAATATCTGGTAGCGCCGGGACTCGAATCCGGACCTCTGGATCTGTAGCCAGAAACTCTGACCACTAGACCACAGACGCGGTCCTCTTGCCCGATATGCGGCTAGGTCCTCCAGCTGGCCGATCTGTCCCGGCTTATATACCCCAATAATAATGACAACAATAACAGCAGTAATAATGAGTTAATGTTTAGGTTGGGGTGATGTGGACTCGTTTCGTCTGGCTTAGGATAAGGACCAATTCCAAGCCTCTGTGAACACGATAATGAAACTTCATGTTCCAGAAGATGGCTGAGACGTGACTAGGAGTGCAACCATTAACCACGAGGAAGAGTACAGGAAACGCGAGTGTGACACAACGCGTCGGGTGGTTTTAGCAGCTTGTGCACAGCGTAATGCAGAACTGTAAGGAGCAATTATTTGTGTTGCAGTAGAGTAAAGCGAAGCTATGTGGAGTCTAGCGTAGCTATAGTTGCGGCATCGGTAGACTCAGGGATTGTTTCAGCATCTGTGACCAGTCTCTCTCTGGGAGACTGTGATTCAAGTAAGCAGAAGTTAAGAGCAGAATGTGGGCGAACGTGTCCAGAATTCTCACCAAAATTACCAAAAGTTTTTCATTGAAGTCCACCCTATCAATTTTGACATGTTCTTGTTGGATTGTTATGTGTTTATTTTTTCTGTTATATGTGGGTGTTGCTAGGTAATCCCGAACCTATCCTATACAGATTTACCAGTGACGCTGTTGTATTATTTACTTGCACGAAACTGATATTAAACTCATAAATTTTAATTTATTAGAACGCCAGCAATATTAGGCGCGAAGTGAGAAAGTGGATCTTGTTACGTTCCCCTCGTATCGGAATAGTTATTAATCTGATTGTGACCTGGTGCCAAGTGAACCATCGTTGGATTACGCCTTTGCATTTTAATTACAGTACGACATTAGAGTAAACAACAGGTAATTATATAATACACAATCCTTAAGTAGCCCTAGATTGTCAGATTCCTGTTATTGTTTGTAAGGTCCAAAACAAACTTTACTTTATGCACGACAGCTATCTAGGATAACATAAAAGAAAGGGACCACTAGGAAGATCGAAGTATAGATAGGAAAATATTGTCACATGTTGTCTATGTAACGCGACAGTAATTCACGCGGGTTTCGGATTTGGCTACTATGATTATTGATGCTCACTTTTACACTTACAAATACAATTATTCACAATCACAATTACTGCATAGAAGCTAACCGAAGACTGACTACTCTTCTTAGGTCCGCTACAAACTCGTCTCCAAGTCACATTGCGGCTGACGGTCAGTCAGTCAGTCAGTCAGTAAGTCTTGGTGTCGAGCCCCATTTGGGGCTCATCCGGAATTCAGATTTACCTGGTTTTCCTTGGTCGCTCCAAGAACATTCCGAAAAATTTCAAATTAACTCAGTACTCGTTCCTTCTACACCCTTTCAGATTCCTTATTCACTATCAACCAGTCACTCGACATTGTATTGTCTGACTATTTTTAGACTACAAATAGACACAACCAGGATACACATAGAGTTGATGTACTCGTAAGTATAAGGTTTATTGATGCATAAAATCCAGACTATAAAAATATACAGTTTACAGTGCAATTAAAACCGGTTTCAACATTTTCGAGTTGTTTTACGCGTACAGACTGACGGACGAAGCGGAGCGAGTTTAATAGGCACTTTGCAGTATCGTGAACAATCCTAAAAATAGGATACCTGAGAAGAATCCCATAGTTCACATTTCTCGCATTTCTGGATTTGAAGTTCTCACAACGGCAGTTAACGAACAGCATGAAGCAGGTAGAGGTGCTTGCTCTGCGTATTGTCTTGTTGTTTGGCTTACTCTCCGACCCTAAAAATGGAGGCAGTGCTCCTCCGAAACATCAGTTGACCATCACCGAATTACACGTCTTTATGTACCAGAAGACGGAAATCTTCATTCCTCGCTTTTGTTCATAACAGAGCGTTCCTGACAGATCTGACCGATGTAGCGGTACAGACTGGTCATTGGCGATCCTGACCGAGTTTTTTCGTGGTTTTATTCAGTTCTTCTATAGAAATGTCGGGAAAGTACCTCGATTGGTCACGACCGCTTCCTTCCAAATCCTTTCCAACTTATCTCTTATGTTACCATTCGACACTATATAATCTAGATAGTGACAACAATGTAAAATAAGTTAAAAAATAAACCCCAGATTCTAATAACCTCCTCCCCACACTCATCGCTGTGGGAACCTCAGATTTGAAATGGGTAGCTTCCTGTTTAACGCAAGTAAAGCTTTTGTTTCATGCTTGATAAAAAAAAGTCCTCTAATTTGGTGCTGTGAAAGTGAGCTGTAGCACTGAAACTTTTAACGGAAATTCTGCATATTGAAAGGAGAATCCGTTCTCTCCTGGCCGCGATAAATACCGCTCAGAAACGTTTCAGACTCAGTATTCGCGGCGCACTCGCCTGTCCGCCGACTTAGCGCCAGGCAGTCTCGATATCTGTGTTATGTGAAGTCTGTTGCGTACAGTCGCAGGATAAGTAGAGTATTGCGGTCTCGCTGTGCTGTTAGAGTCTGAATAGCCATGTATGGAAAGAAAAGGCTCAGCACATATTTGCATCCATGTGTTTTCTTCTTCACAAATACCGTACAGTGTGTATTGTGATAACGAAAAACAAAGCCTTTATGCTATCCTGAAAGATAAAACGTGTATGCCAAAGGATCAGTACGATAATGCTTCCTGGTGAAAGCACATCTGTATTTTTTTCGTTCACTTAATAATGCTCTGTCAACTTCATATTGTCACGTATACGATTGTGATTATAGAGGGGCTTTGATTGATAATCGGATATATTTGACTCTTGAAACTCGCTAGTAATTGTAGTGCTATCGCTAATTCACACACTCTGCAGTTCACTATTTTCTTCACATGTTGCAGCCTGGTAACGGCTTCCAACGCCGTAGCTTCCTCAACTTCCGTATTCACGTAATGACTGGCCGGCGACTGTCCCACAACTCACTCCTACTCTTTTAACTGCCGTCTCAAGACTCTCTCGTAATCGCAGCTGCCCCTCGTTACATAGCCTCGGCACGGACCGCATAGGAAAAACCTCTCAAAGAGTTTTTTTTCTTCTGTTTTTGCGACACGTAATTATGGCACGGACCGCGTGTTTCCTAGTTACTCTATTGTTGGCTGTTACGAATAGTTTGCCTAGCAACGTGCGTGTTTGCAGAGCCGTTCCCTAGCAGCTGCCGTCTCTATTGGCTTCACAGTTCTAGCCCTGAACAAATATGCCACAGTATATTATGTATGCTTATGATGAATGTATCATTCGCTACCCTTTTCAAGTTACGTAACACTAGAATGAGAAAAGCTAGAAAATAACCTCTCAGGTAATTTTAGTCCGGATCATTAATTGAAAAAGAATCTTTCGAATATGAATCAACGATCTACTACTCGAACGTTATGTTCGATTCGTAAGTGATTTTCAAAGTCACTAGTCATACGTCAACTGAGTCCGTAACTTGGACGAGATTTGAATCTGACACCTATCGAATACAACTCTAAGAGGGAGTTTTCCTCGTTATAAGAGAAAATACACGACTAAAATACCGTTTTATATACCTATACATAGTAAATGTGTAAGAATTATCTACTTCCAAAATACTGTACGATTTTTTTTTACGTGTTCAAAATTCCGAATTTCCTAGACTGTATATTTCCGAAATTAAAGCACAGGTAAAATGCATTAGTTCAACGCACTTGTTCCGGACGAGAGAGACTGTTTTTTTTTTCTAGTGATCTGAATAGTAGTTATATCTAGTATAACATAATGCAACATAATCAAGCAGCAAGCATACATAAATTAAAAGGGAACTACTTGAAACTAAATACATATGTTACACTAGATGGTACCTACTGTTACGACGGGCCGCGCCATATCTCAAGCAGTTAGTCGCTGGCTCCCCACAGCGGCAGCCCGGGTTCAATCCCGGGTCTGGTCAAGTGAAATTTGTGGTGGACAAAGTGGCGCTGAGGCAGGTTTTCTCCGAGTACTTCAGGGCTGGTACAATAGGCCAGAAGTGGCCGCAGTGCAAGGGAATTAGTCCCACCCCACTTGCAATAAAAAAAATACTGTTATTAAGATGATTGATAATACGAATGCAACTTTAAAATGTCTGTGGTCTAGTGGTCAGAATTCCTGCCTACAGATCCAAAGGTCCCGTGTTCGATTCCGGGCGCTACCAGCTTTTCTGAGAAGTAGTGGGTCTGGAACGTGGTCCACTGAGCCTTATGAGGATAGTTGAGGAGTTATTTCAAGGAAGTAGCGGCTCCGGTCTAGAAAACCGAAATTAACGGCTGTGGGGATTCGTTGCTCTGACCACGTGACACCCTATATCCGCTAAAGTTGGCAGTAACTTCGCCGACAAGCGGCGGTCGCTCGGTCGGCATAGTTCGCTTGCTGACTAAAACCACGAGTTTGTTTTTTGTGTTGTTGTTGTTCGGTGTTGCAGTCCAGAAGCCTCCCTGCTCCGTGTTCCACCTGGGTGTGTTGTTACGTGTCATGACGGTTTTACTTCCATGTCTTATTGGGCAGTGTCTGCAGCGGAGACACACAACAGGCCGCACGAAACACGGCCCAAAATGCGACGCGACGAACACAAAAGCAACACAGTCGAGACACTAGTGCTACACGTACTTGACTTCAACACTTGTCGTGTCCCATGTCATGTTCATGCAGAACTTGCATCAGAGCTGAATATGGGGGACCTAATTAAAAATCGCGACTCTGGGAGTTGATGAACGGGTTTCGAAGTGAGGAGTGGGGAGTCTAGGGGAGCCGGCATTCTGCTCGGCTATCGGGTTTTGCCGGCAGTGGGACCGTGTCTTTCTGACAGGCTGGTCGCGCAACCCAGTGCCGCTATGTTTCGTAATATTTCGTTCCGCCGTCGCGGGGAGATCGGAACACAACCAAGTAACAACACTAGCAGAAATTAATTTATAAGTGAACAAAATGTTATTATTATTTCTTAAAAATGAATATTTTCAGTTTCACTACAGCGCAACTTTCTTTCGTTACGTAAAAGTGAAGACTGTCACTTCGGTTTATTGTAGTTACGGCTATCAAACATTGTATAATATTCGAAACAGTTGAAACATTATTTCAAGACAACGAGTATATTGTCCTCTGCGTCGTTGTCTTAGTTCTAAGTTGTCTTGAAATCCACAGTTTCATTTTAGTGACTGTATTCCGTTCCTAGTTTGCACTGTTCTAAAAAGACCCGATTTTTACATATGTTTTTAACTTTCTTTTATTATTGCAAGTGGGGTGGGACTAAGTCCCTTGTACTGCGGCCACTTCTGGCCTATTGTACCAGCCCCAGATGATAGGTGAGGGTGATTGTGGAGCAATTGGTGGAATGAAGATTGGCAGGGAAACCGAACTACTTGGAGAAAACCTGCCCCAGCGCCACTTTGTCCACCACAAATCCCGCTTTACCTGACCCGGGATCGAACCCGGGCCGCCGCGGTGGGAAGCCAGGGACTAACCGCTTGAGCTATGGCGCGGCCCCTCTTTTTAACTATGTAACACACGAGTCAACAATTTAGCAGTTTCACGTAGTTTTTTTTATTTTTATGCGTACGATACATAGGGGACTCTTTTAGAATAAAAGGATTAATTTTACTAACAACTAACTGGTTCATATCATTATAACTTTATTTTATTGATATTTTACAGAGTACTCATGAAGTGAAGCACTTAGAACATATAACCCAATTATTGTGTTTTAAATAAGCCTTGGTTTTTGAAACAGTGTGTGTGAAATAGATACAAGGGATATGACCTTTAAAGCAGTTTCAGTTCGAATTAATAATTTGTGTATGAAGATTCTTCCAAGATGATTATTATAAGTTAATATTAGGACAATGAAGTATGGATTTGTTTACTTCATCAGTAGAAAGTAAAGCAAACCGCATTCAGTTTCTTCACGGACATAGGCACATATATACAAAAGTATTTTAAATGCAGACATGAAGTTAGTGATCACGTATATAGACTACAGTAGTAGCACTATGTAGAAGTTTTATATGTACTTGGTTACTGTGATTTTGTTGCACTCAAAACGTTCAGACAGTTCATGTGATTGGTGTATCTGTATTATAACCTCGGTTTGTTATTGCATAATGATTTTATTACCGTATTTCACCGAAGTGGCTGTAGGAACACAATAAACAGAAACAATAAAAATGACGCAATCTCGAATTTCGCAGATGGCAAGCGTCGGGCCATTTGGTGATCACAGTTTCAACGATTCAAGTCTTAGTAATCCAATTTTATTTGGTGCTGGCGGTGATGACGTATCGACGCAAGACGTCAGTCCGGAGGACCTGTTGTTGCTGGTAGGATTGCCAGGGATGAGCGACATCACAATGGTTACGGCGCTACCTATTGAAGAGTGCCAGAGAATTAATACTCTTAACTCCACCTTGTGGACATTACTGACAGCGTACGTGAATTCGAGTGGAGAGCTTCAGTGTTTGCACCACGCGCCAGAGTTTACTTACAGAATAGCAGTGAAGGCAGCTGTGTTGACGGTGATGGCAATTTTGTCGTTTGTCGGGAACACATGGACAATAGTGAGTATTAGAATGAACAGGTCCGGAAAAAGGTCACATCAGACGTGGAGTGCAGTATATACATTAATCTTACATCTGTCCATAGTGGATTTATTAGTTACGTTGTTCTGTCTTGCTGGCGAGGCTGCCTGGAGTTATACTGTTGCTTGGTTAGCCGGTAATGCTGTGTGCAAAATATTCAAGTTTCTTCAGATGTTCAGTCTGTACCTGTCAACATTCGTGCTCGTGCTTATTGGAGTGGATAGATTTGTGGTTGTTAAGTATCCCATGAAATCCCTCAACACTGCCAGACGTTTGAATCGTCTCATAGTCTTCATATGGGTACTCAGTCTTATCCTCAGCATTCCTCAGGTAAGCTCATACGGTTCTGCTAAGAGCAAATATTTCAATTCACAGTTAACTATTTACAGGATAATCAGTGGGCACTCGCAGAAACGCAGCAGTTATATGATATGCGGCTTATTCTGTAAACAGCTGGTTGCTGTAGCGTTGAGTGGCGGAATCATTAATGAGCAATGGGATGGAAAGAATTTGGAAGGGAATGGTAGGCCTATTCGAGGGGCTGAAGAAAACCACAACAAGTCTGAATATAGCCAGCCCCCATCCGAAATTCGAGCCGGGTAGCTCCTGAGCTCAACTTTACACCGGCCTCATTTAAGGCTTATTATGCTCGTATATAGAATTCATTACTGGCCCCTATAGTCACAGTTTTCAGTTTTTTTTTATTTTGCGTACAATTTTGCAGGTTATTTATTTTTGCCAATAAATCAATTCTGCTGAAATATGAATTACATATTTTACTTAATATTCGGAAAATATATTTCGATAAATATTGCATACAAGAATTTTGTCCTATATTGTATTTAATTTATATTTTCTTATGAGTCGTTTCGATAAATGGATACAGCCTGCTGTGATCTTAGTGTAAAATAGGAACTGTATTGAACAGATAAGCCCCTAAATGAAATCCACCTGGCCATGTTTACTATAAATGCTCAACTCCAAATTCAGTTGATCCCCGACACAATTTTTATCGTGACAGAAACATGGGAAGGGATGGACATAACCTTACCATTATGCTTACTGGCACAATAAACCAACCAGTGTGTAACAAATGGAATATAATATATCAAATTAGATGTGTTGTAGCCTTTCTAGCCTCAGCGCCATGGTGTAATCCTCAGAAGCATAACCATGAAAGGAAATCAACTTTACAATCGTTATTCATTCATTCATTCATTCATTCATTCATTCATTCATCATTGGCTCTACATCCCTTTTTTGAGCCGTGGCCTCTTCTTCAGTTTCGTAATACTATTTACACAGAAGGTTATAATTAGAATGATCAAGTCAAGGAGGATGAGGTGGGCAGGTCATGTAGCACGAATGGGGGAGACGAGGAATGCGCATAGAATATTGGTGGGAAAGCCAGGAGGAAAGATACCACAGGGAAGACCAAGGCGTAGGTGGGTGAACAATATTAGAATGGATCTTAGAGAGATAGGATGGGATGGTATGGATTGGATAGATCTGGCTCAGGATAGGGACCAGTGGAGGGCTCTTGTGACCACGATAATGAACCTTCGGGTTCCATAAAATTCTAGAAAATTCTTGAGTAGTTGCAGAATTGGCGGCTTCTCCAAAAGGGCTTAGCTCCATGAGTAAGTAAGTAAATAAGTAAGTAAGTAAGCAAGCATTTACACAGAAGGTAGGACGATCAGCCCGGCGCAAGGCCTCTACCTACACGCAGGGAAACACAGCCATCCGTGCCTCAAGTGGGATTCGAACCCACGATCCAAGCGTTCGAGTGAGCGAAGACAATTCATGCCTTAGACTGCGCAGCCACCGTGATCAGCTATACAATCCTCATACATCTTGAAATATGATTTGCATTTTTTCAGTGACAATGTACTCCGTTAATTATTCTGTATACACAGCACATAAACACAGCTGCGCGTCAAATCTTATGTTTCTTGCGTGGTGTCAAGCTCTTTGTGTTATTGATTATTAGGACCAGCTGATTGTCCTGTTGGTTGTGTATAGTATCAATGGAGGTATTCGGGTCGTCTGAACATGTAATGCACCTAATTCGTTCTGTTGTGTTAATTTTGTTATATTCAGTGGCGTATTGTTCCAGTAGTTGCTAAAAGTGTAACGGTCACGATATGTGACTGCCTAAATAACGCCGCTGTTTGCTCATCTACCCAAGAGTTTCCCAACATTTTATTGAGCCGAAGGTTCATTACCGTGTTCACAAGAGCCCTGCACTGGCCCCTATCCTGAGCCAGATCGATCCAGTGCTTACCACCCCATGCTATCCCACCGTCAAGATATCGCTAAAATTACCATTTTGTGTTTATGTTCTATGTTTAATGTCAGTATCGCATAACAGTTCGATAATCTAACACCTCTTATGATAAAGGGTGTAACCGTTCATTCTGAATGGAGGACTGTTGTGTGTTAATTAAATCTGTATTAAGTTAAGATTACAAGGTTACAAACAAAGAGATCCGGCAGATAGCCAGCTCTTACACGCGGAAGGGACATAGTTCAAGTTTTGCTATGTGGACAGGAAGTAACATCTGGTAATTTCCTAGAATTCTGGCGGTTTCAGCAAAGTCGGAAAGGCTTTGAGAAAATGAGAGCTGACAGCTTGGGACAGCCATAACTTAGAAGTGGGACGGCCGGAGCCTCACACCCTGACCGTAATGCATCAAGGGGCTGTCGACCTTAGCGTCAGGTCAGCATCTGCCAGAATCACATAGCAGAGCAACATGACTGGGAATTCAAAATTTAGGGAACCTCCTAGTTTGAAAACTTAACCAATGGCAGAAGTGGAGGAGTGGATTTCTCTTGGAGTCTGGGGTTCCTGGACCTCAGGATTCAGAGAGAGGGCATTCCACCTCAAGGAGTCTTGATACAACTTTCGGCAAAGTCGGACGCAAAATTTACAACTACGGCCCTTCCGTAAAGTAGTATAAGTAAAGTCCAAATTAAGTGTATTAATAAATTCAGTTGTATTCAGAAAGCTGGAAGGGATTAAATGACCATTAAGTGCAACGGTCTAAAGTGTGTGTGTGTGATTGAAGCAGAAAGGTTCTTCCTGCCCTGCCCGAGCCAGACCCGTATAAGACCCGGGATAGGAACTCAGCTCTACTGATTACTGAACAGAACCCAGTTGCTCCCGTCTTTACCTGCTCTCGCGTAACAGCTCAAGCAACCACAATTCTCCCTTTCCATCTAACGTCTCGACATCTACGAGAAGAGGGAGGAAGGTGATAAGTGGAGCACAACGTAGGGTCAAGGAGGACGGCAACAGCGTGGCGCACAACGTAAAAAGAACCCAAAGGAAGAGAGCGGTGAGAAGGGCCCGAAGAAAACTCGTTCGGAATTTGAAATTAATATCGATGCATAGTTTTTCCCTAAAGTCCTTCTACTCTATTAGCCAGGGCGCGTCAAATTTCGTGTAGGTAACACTATTATTATTATTATTATTATTATTATTATGGCTCTACAATTATTTGTTGGGCCTTGGTGTCTCTGTCAGTTTCTTGATCCTATACACAGGCGGTAGGACTCCTTGTACGGGGGATCAGCCCGTAGCAAGGCCGCTGCCTACACACACAATAAACGCACAGACATCCATGCCTCGAGTGGGATTCGAGCCCACGATCCCAGCGTTCTAGCGAGCGAAGACAGTCCATGCCGTAGACCGCGCATCCACTGCGATCGGCGTAGGTAACTTTACGGAAGAGAAATCCTGTCCAAGTATATTCGAATTTGTCACCTGCTAATTAATGCCGGAAGTATTTTATCTAGAAAATGTGGGAGCCTCGACCTCTCCCAACCCTACCAGCCTCCGCGGCCTTCTACATAAATAGTTTCACTCACTCTACCTTTACTATAGCGAGGCTTACAAAAACGGAAATGATTTGCAAACTACTTAAGAGCGGATGCATAAAAATTCGTATCCCTTTGGTCTTCAAGGCAAACATGGTCAGCAAACGAATGTACACGTAGATACGTAATCACCGCGACGTCTTACTTGGTCTGCAGGCCGTGCCATAGCTCAAGCGGTTAGTCGCTGGCTTCCCGCCGCGGCGGCCCGGTTCGATCCCGTGCCTGGTCAAGTGGGATTTGTGGTGGACAAAGTGGCGCTGTGGCAGGGTGTTTTTATTCATGAGGGGAATTCTTTTGGAAGTTTTCAATCATGGACTTCAGTTTGGTTAATGAGGAACTTCATAACTTGTACTCTTCTCCAAGTATAATTAGAATGGGAATGAGGTGAGGAGGGCATGTAGCACGAATGGGGTAGAAGAGGAATGCATCTAGGATATTGATGGGAAAGCCAGAAGGAAGGAGACCACTGGGAAGATCAAGGCGTAGGTGGGTGGACAATATTAAAATGGATCTTAGAGAGGTAGGATGGGATGGTATGCATTGGATTGATCTGTCTCAGGATAGGAACCAGTGGAGGGCTCTTGTGAAGCCTGTAATGAACCTTCAGGTTCCATAAACTGCTGGGGGACTTCAGTTTGGCTACCTTATTACAACTGAAATAACACTGTAATTACACCGAGAACATATTTAAATATGGCATTTTGTTGGAGACACTGATCTGATGGGAAGATAATATTAAAATAAGTATGCAGTTTAGAAAAGAAAGTTATAAGGGGTTGAATTCGAATAAATTCCTGAGGATTACCGCTACATCACCTGCTCAATAAAGTTCTTTTCTTTTTTACGAATTTATAGATCTGCTATGTCAGTATATTGCTATCGTATTAAGTGAAGAGTGTACGGGCAGGGCAAAAGGGCAGAAATGCATTGTTGGTGATTCAAACTTGTTCAGCCTTTTATTTCATGCCCTAAGCAAGGTCATTGGTACTTTAAAGTTTGTCGTTTATAATGATTTCTTTTTAATAACCATCGTTACCTTAACCAAGAATGATGAGGAACAGGTGACTTCACGACGCATTAGATTTTTAAGCGTCCAATGATATATAATGTTGATACTTCTGAATTCTGAATGAGGAGAAACGCCTGAGAAATTGGTTACGGAATATTGCGACGTTAACACAGACCTTGTTATGAGGAAAGCGGACATAAACATTGGTCCCCGGATGACATTCGAAATTGGTTCCTCCGAAGTGTGAGCAGTTTTGTGCATTCTCTCTTACTCTCTATAAATAAAAGTTAGTAGCAGTGAGTGAAAGCTCTGAAATAACGCAATTTTGGGTTACCGTAGCAACGACATGTTGAGTGTTAACATGTTACATGAACGTAAATTATGTAGTAGGTCACGAATGAGACATCAGTCTTTTTTTTTCTAACAAGTAATGTCCTTTTCT